GGATTCATTAAATCGGCATATTCGATATTAATCGTCTGGCCTTTTAATTTGTATTGAATTAAATTTCTAAATGATCGAAATAAAATAAATTTAATAAAACATAAAATTGAATTCTTCTCGATTAATGTCTGTCTGTCCGTCCGTCTGTTGAGCGCCTGGTTCTCGGAGACTATCAGAGCTAGAGCCACCAAATTTTGCATCCAGATGGCTGTATGCTCTCACTGCTACAAGAGTTTTTTTTTAAATTTTGCCCCCTCCTACATGATAATTGATATTACTACCATATTATCTTCCAGAAACATATGATGTCTCACACACAGTTCCGTATTTGTTCCCCTATTGGGCATGATACTCATTCTAATACCAGCGACCATCTGCTGTTGGTTGTCAAAACCCCAACTGAATCCCAGCCTCATGCCCCTGCCGGCAAAGACGACGCCCTCAGCGTCCTCAAATCATTGGCCATGGTCATCTTTGTTGTCGTATGTGGTGCTCATGGGATTGGGCCTGATCGGCTAAAGTCGTTCCATCCTCGATCCCTACAAGATTCTGCACTTGCAGCCATCCGCCTCGCAGGAGGAGATCATGAAGGCCTTTTACACGCTGTCCAAGTTGCTGCATCCTGATGAGAGCGAAACGGGCAACGAGGCGGAGTTCATTCTGCTGACCACAGCCTACCGCCATCCAGGCGGCGCGCGGTTGTGACTGTGGGCGTTGCTTGATCGGCCAGATTGGCACAGTTCTACAATTTGGCCACACAGAGACTAAAATTCATTGAACAATGGCTGAAGATCAAATTTATAAAGAGTCAAACTGTTAATTAAGTTTCCTTGTTGCATTTTCCTGCTCTTTGACACTTGCTTTTTCAGTAAGTCCTGTGACGTTGCTCTCCCCTGCAGAGTTCCATGACCCACTTTTTGGGGGTAAATTGCCAATCGAATTTCCTCTAATTTGGCATCAATTTCCAATTTCCCCGATTCCTGCAGAGCACCCGCAGCACCACTCGGGGCAACTCATTAAAAAGTGAAAATCGAATGTCACTAAGCGAAATAATCCGAGTTCGTGCAAAGGTCCGTACACGAGGGGAGAGGGGGGTTCCTGTGTGGACTTCCGCCGCATATAAGCCATAAGCCAGTGTCCTGGCTACGAAAGTACGTGTGTCCGTGTGCCTTTGGCTCGTTGACCGGAATGCGGTTCATAAATTGGGTCATTTGCCGTAGAGAAAGCAGAGAAAGTCACTTGCATTTTCACTTTCAATAGCAGGTCGCTTGCACAGCAGTCACGTAGCGCCACGTGGCAGTCCCATGGTTCTTTCGGGGGGTTCAGGTTGCTATAATTTTGCTTTAACCTTATAAATTGGAAGATTGGAGGGCGGACAGGCGGATGGACAGACAGGCTGCCTCGATGCCATAATTTTGCAAACTTGCGTGCCACCAAAGCGACAGCCAAATGACACCACCAGCTGGAGCAGGCAGCAGGCACGGACGATGTCCGTGCATCCGCCAGCAAGCCAGTCGGAACCAAGAGTCGGCTTTCTCTCTCTTTCAGTGTGTGTGCCCCTCTCTCTTGGCCAAACAACAAGCAAAACTGACAAAGTGGCAGCCAGGGCACTTCCTTTTGTTTAAGCTACCCCGACACTGTCGGATGCTGTGGGTTGTGGGTGTTGCATGCATCTCTCTTTCTCGTTATAAATTGACCGCATTATTTTGCTCAATTTAACCTGAGCTTGCAGCAGGGGCAGCGCCAGAAAGAAGAGAGTGGCAGGCAGGCAGGGAGGTAAAGTTTTCAACTTGATATCCATAAGTGTGCAAGGCTGCCCCAGCGTTTCCGCTTTCGTTTCCTTTCCGCTGCTCAAGCCCATCTCCACTCTATTACCACTCCAGTTTCCTTTCCGCTGGCATTCGGCGGCTATCAGCGTTTCAGCCTTCGCTTTCTCTTTCGGTTGGCATAATTTTTTTTATTAGGTCACACCAGCACCAACCACTGCAGCCTACCACACAGCACACACACAGACAAACAAGATAAGTTGGGGGCATCACACGATGCATGTTGCATGTGCCTTATTTGGGGGATTGGGTGCGCAGAGTGCTGAATATTTTTGCAGCACTTTAATAGCCGAAAGTATTTAATTGCATTTTTTATGGCCCCCGCAAACGGCCTTGCCTCGCAACGGCTGCGAGGAGTTTATGAAATAAATGTCCATAAAAAAATTGATGATATTCTAGGAGCAAGTGGCGGGGCGGCACGGGACAGGGACTGGGCAGGGGCAAGGGCAGGCTCAGAAATCGCATAATTACATCTGAAGAACACTTGATACGAAAGCGAACCTGATGCCGCTGCTGCTGCCGTTGTCGGCCGGGCACAAAACTCATTAAGGAAAATACGCGATGGACAACTTATGGAAAAGAGGAGACTTTGGCGGACACTTCAGGCCGTCATTCAGGCCATTAATTCTGGAGCAGACCAGCAGACCTGTCGGGCCTAAGCCTCGACCTAACTAAAATTAAACGAATTTAAGAGGTCACTCAATAGAGTCCTGCATCGAGGGGTTGAAGGAAAAATGAATGGGAGTAATGCCTGGAGGCTGCTGCTGCACTTCGACAAATGAAGTTCGTTGCAAGTAAGGCCCAGTGGCGAGTTTCAACACGGGGCAAGCCCTCATAAATGGGGAACGACCCAAAGAGCAACAAGCGGCATCAGGCAGCAGACGGACAAGGGATAGAGATACCCTCAGCATTCATAACATAGCTTGTAAGCATTTTTTCATATTCATCGTTTGGGCAGGACTTCTCTCTCTCTCTCTCTCGCTCGCCTTATTGGTCGCCGCATAATGAAAATGCAAGCGGCAAAGAAAAATCTTCAGCAAGAGCAGCAGCAGAGAGCCCTGCCCAAAGTTTTTAATATAATTTGGAATTAGCCAGAGTGCCGGATGACCCGGTCCCTCTCTCTCTCTCTCTCTGCCTATACGCAGCGTGGGGCATATTTCGAGTCGAAAGAATTAGAGTTTGTACCACATTGTACCACAGATTGTCATGTGAAAATTAAAAGTGCAGACCCTGCTCCTCATAAATAACGATGCAAAAGTCTCCCAAGAAACTCTTTATTTCGGAGTTCGGAGAATGCAAATCAAGTTCAACCATTGGCCTATGCATTGATTACATCCTCAACGATATCCTGTGCCGGCTGGATCTTGTTCCTAGCCTAGTCCGCCCACCGGTCCATCATCCTGCCAGAGAAGAAAAACAGAGAAAAACTTGCTACGACTTTTCTGTTAAGTCGCATAACTTTGCATAAATATGAAGCTATTCAACAGAACTCCACAAAGCTCAAAAACAGCATGAAAACATTACACAAAACTGCCCTGAGACCCGCCCCCAAAGAGCGGCGAAGCCCTCCCCACACCGGGGACCCGCATCCACCGAGTCACCCAATGTCAGCGTCAGCAAGGACTACAAAAACGGTAAAACTATTTTACGCACATAGAAATGTATGTATGTATATTTATGCATAGATTGCGGGTCCGGGAATCCCATTTCATTTATTATATTAGCAAGAGCGACACAGCCGCAAAACTATACCAAGTGGAAGTTCAAACAAGAATTGGACTGCAGTTCTGAAAGGGTGACTATGAGAATACCCTGTAAAAACTTTAAGCCTAGCATTTCAACTGCTATAAATACAATGTGGAAATCTTGTAGTATTCGGATATGTCGGAGATGACAGAGTCTACACAGTCTTCAATCATTAGCATTTCTGATTTACTTATGCCTCAGTCGATACGCAAATTGAATATACATTGCTCCCCTCTGCCAGTGCCCCACTTAAGGGGCAGCATACAACTATGCAACGTCCCAATGACAGCGGCAACTTTTCCGATGACTGAAAAACTTTAACAGATTTGCATAAATTAAACGCAAGTAAACAAAACGTAGCAAAACCAAACGAGGAACAGAGGCAGGGGCCACCAGCCACAGGAGCACAAGCAAAGGCAGTGGCAGGAGGAGTCTCCATCCCTCCCACAGTCATTCATTTAACTGTCAATGCCGTTGTTATGCTGTGGTTCTGGCCACGGCTCTCGGTCTGCCTCTGGATTTGCAGATGGGACGCCGGCTGCTCGCTGAGAATTTATGAATTCATGGCGATCTTATGTGTAAGTACGTATAAATTTAATATATTTTTATGATTTTTTATGGACCTACGGCTTTGGAAATGGGCTTTAATTTATGCTTCCATTGTTTTTGCTACCGCTGAGGGCTGGAGCTCAGGCGACATTTGGGGAGTTTTCAACGACGACTACGATAAACTTCTATAAACTTCCCCGACACAAACTATATTGTTGTCGATGTATGTAAGTCCTCGCTTTTGTTGTTGTTGTACTGAAAAGTGTTTTGTTCCCCCCTCACACACTCACATATGCCTGTGTGAGCGAACTGCAGAGGGAAAATACTTCACTTTATCAGACGCGGGACGAGATTCGAGTGTCATCGTCAATATGCTCCTCTTCTGCGACGCGACTCCGGTTGACATGAGAGCGAACGAGTAAGCTTTCGGATACCAGGATACGTGGGTTATTTAGTTCATTGGCCGCCAAAGCCTCCCGACACTCCAAAGCCACTCTACCCGCCCTCTACAGTCCGAGAGCCATGTCACATGTCGAGAGTCGTCCAACAGAATGTTTGCTTATGCTTTTTCTGCTGCTACTGCTGTTGTTGTTGACGCTTGGTTATGGATTTATGGATTTACGACACTTTTGGTCGTTGCGGTTGTCAGTTTTCGGGTAAAAGTTATACTTTGCCACTGGCTTATAGTTGTGTCAGGTCAGGTCGGGGGTCAGGTCTCCAGCTCGTGCTCCTTCTCGACTAATCGGCCCTGCCCTGGGGACAGATTAGATCCGACTCCGTGTGTGTAGTGTGTCTCGTGTATCGGATACTGTTGCAGGTTGTTGAAATTCGACACGTCTGAACAGCCCTAAATAAAAATGGTTTGTCGATAAGGCTTACCTTGTGTTCGTCCGCTTGCGGTCTGCTCGCTGAACTGCAAATAGAGACAAGAGCAGAAAGAGTTTCCAAATAATTAATGATCGGAACGTGACATCAGCGAAGGAGGGTACTAGTGTAGTAAGTATATCATTTATCATGGAAATATTTCACAAAGAATTTCGTGCGCGTTTCCGCCCAAATGTTATGCTATTAATTCCGTGGCCCAGGACATGCGGAAACGGTGCGCTCTTCACCAATATTAATAATGCAACAGCTGGGCTGGGAGTCGGAGCCCCGCCGTATTTGTCAATAATACCCTAAAACCAATTATTTTCCTATGGAAAAACTATTAAATTACGTAATCGTTAGCGTTGGGATTGGAAGGCGGGTGGAAGCAATCGAAGGACGTGGACTGAGTGTTGATGGTAATTCAAACAGAAAATGCAATTAAATCAAAAATACATTTATGCGCATCCTCTAAACGGACACACACTGCAATGCACTGGCACTCCCGCTTGACACACAGAACATACACATACCAACATCCATATATATGTATGTACATATGTATGTAGTATTTATGGATGTTTATTTGGATTTCATAAATTTCACGCTTAAATTCTCGTATCATACCCTGTGGTCGTAGAATATAGTGCATCTGGGTATATTAGTTATGAATGCATGCTTGTACATATTCCCATATTGTTATTTGGGCTTGCACACTTTTACAATCAGCGTATTCCGCTACGGACCAAAAAATTATGGTGATGTCCGAATAAACGGCTGTGTTTCCCAGACTATTAGAGCTAACACAACCCCCTTTGGAAGCTTTTTTTTTCAGCATTATCGGAATAGCAACGGAATTTCATCGTCTGACAGTAGGTACATGAATCTGAGTACAGGGTATACTGTGGTCTTATTATTTTCGCTATGAAATTTCACTTTGTAGCCGTTTCCCTGGCTGGCGCTGGTTAATGCAAAAGCGAGAAATCACTGCAAATTCAATGAACCCGACATGGAATCGAGTACAGCAAAAGAGAGAGGGGCTATGTGGCAGGACAGGACACATCCGAACCGAGCTCTTGCAGCAAGCTGCACAGACAGTATGCCTTGTGTCCTGTCTACTGTATGCTGGATTTGTATCTGATGTTTTATGTGTGCAACGTCATGGTTACTCATCCATGCCCGACGGCCTGTCGTTGATGGGCAGCAGTCATAAGCCGCCGACCCAGTGTGGCACCAGTCGCCAGCCATTCAGCCATTCAGCCGACGCCATTTATTCATTCACTCTCCTCACATGTTTACTGCGAAAATATTTACATTGCTGGCGTATAAAAACTGCATAAATGTGATTACATTTTCATTGGCTTTTATGCCTCGTAAACCATCCCACGTTTCGGACAAGGGAATGGGCAAAAGGGTAGCTGAGTGGGAAGGGGCTTTCCGCAGTAGTCACGTAATTCGATTGCGATTTCAATTAGCGTAAAATGCGCAGCAAAATTACGGACAGGACATCCCATCCAATACGTAACGAACAACAAACGTAGAGACTTCAACTGACTCCGCGAAGTAGGCAGCAGCCTACATCCAGTGAATGGCTGACAATGTGTCATCTCCACACACTGATGTGACATAGAAAGTTAAGCCTCGTCCGGCCACAGAGTGCTATTCAATTAATAGCCAACTATCGATCAACTCTCGGATTGTTGGGAAATTGTTTGTCAGCTTACAGAATCAGATATCAGGATAACAGGATGTCAGGATATCAGGAATCGCCTGACAGGGAAAGCTCTCGGTGTCTCTTAACTAATATATCAGTAATTAAGCACTTCCGCAAGCAAATTGGATTTTAATTGAAGAGCATCGAGCTCTCTCTCGACGACCCTCCGCCTTGGTTTTGGAGTTTGCAACACAATGGAGTACCGTCCCGTTCCTCTAATTGGCATTTAATTGACTGGAGAAAACTTTCGACGAGACATTTGTTTATAAGCCGCACACACAGGAAACAAGAAGATAGAGACGAGAGACGAGGTGGTAGCACAATACAAGCACTTATAAGATAATTACGAATTGATGCTCCACCACCCAACCACTAGTCCGTCCTGCGCCAGAGGTAAGATGCAGGCAGACAGCTCAGTCGCGCTTACGGCACCCAAGGAGCCAACAGGACGCCATCTCCCACTTCAGTGAAAATCCGCTATGGTAAATGTTATCTCTGCAAACATTTGACAATCAAAAATGCTCAAGCCATTGTTTAAAATAAAAATCGAGCAGCAGCTAGTCGCCGAGCAGCAATGGAAGGATAGCCACGAACCGTGGTCGCACAGCTGGGATCCTGGAAGGTAAAATTCTTTAGAAATCTTTTAGATAAAGATAAAAATAATTGTATGAACCGGTTTGTGAGGCAACATTTTTGGACATAAATAAGAAATATTTTAAAACAACAAGAGTATCTATTCAGTAGTATGGCGTATCCACTGTGCAACGGCGTCTCAAAATGACTGTGAGTGCCACCACCACCTTCTTGGAGGACAAAGGCAGCAAGGGAATGGGAATGGTAGAGACAACAAATGGCACAGCAGCAGTCAATGGCATCCTCGAGGCGACGGCATCCTCCTCCTGCTCCTCCAGACGAGGCGAGGTTAAGTTGACAAGAGAATGAGATTGCATTCTGCCATTCTGTCGCTGTCTCTGCTGCCCGAGTTCAATTCATTTCCACTTGAGCAAATGCACGTCTTCTAGATGTCGCTACTTTTGGCCATAGCCAAAGGATACGCCTGCCATCCCAGCAAAAGTAGCTGCAAAATGCCGCCCCGGGGTGCACCTACAACTGGGAATCGAGTCGAGTAGAGAGCTCCTGCTGCTCCTGCTCCTGCTCCTGTCGAATTTTTTGCCTTGAAAGCGTTCAGCTCTCATCCCCGCTTGTTTGTTCAAGATTTGGCTGCTACAGTGTGAGTGTGTGTATGCTGCAAGTGCTGCAGCATCATCAAATTTCGGTTGGGGCAGGCACGAGTGGGGGAGTGCAGTAGCGTGGGAGTGGAGCAGCGGGGGCCTCAAGGATTGTCGCCCTGCTGTTGACACTGTTGACATTTTACAGTAATGAAAGTGATTATTGTCAAGGGTCGTCGACAAACAGTTCCTGAAGAGAGTCCTTTCCTACTGCTAGAAATCTTTCTCTATCTCGCTCTCTGGCCATTCGGCTTGGCCTTTATGGCACTACGCCATTATTTCGGCTAACCACGTTTCCAATTTGCAAAATGCTCTTATAACACAACGACGAAGACTCCGACGAGGACGAGTACTAATCATACAATCCGATGCGGAGGCAATCTCGCGAGAAGGAGAGGGCGGAGACTAAGAAGAGAGGCTGTGCTGTCTGGCCTGTCTGTCAGGTTTCATTTGAAAAATGCGCTCATCTGGTTCCCTATGCACTTCACCTGGCAGGTGGCAGGGGCACGTGGCAGAGAGACTGTCATTTGGCCCTGCCAAAATCGTAAAGGCTGAAATTTAGGTTAATTGATAATTGATAAAAGCCGCTGCCTGCCTTCGCTCCTCTCTGTTGTGTGTCTGTCTCAGTGTGTGTGTGCGACTCGACTTAAACTTTGGCCCGTGAAAATTTAAAGGGAAGGGAAGGCACTCACTGCAGCTGCGGAGGGGCAATGAAAACGAGAATGGACGTGTGAGACGCTTCTTACGCGTCACAAGTTTTATACCCGGCACTCAGTACTACATCTGCACCTTATCGGTGTTTTGTCAAATTTTACATTTTTTCTTCATCTTTCATCTACATCTAAAACACTTCTCACACCAACACGCTCCGTTAGCTCGATCCCCTTCCCTAGACCCACACACTGCAGACTCGCGGCAGACGCAGTGGCCTCACACAGCAGAAGCAGAGTGTGAATGAGAGAACGTGAAAAAAAAACAAATATAAGCTGCGGGACGGGGTGGGTTTAGCCACTGCAAATTAATTTCCTCATTGTGACTATAATAATGATCCAATCGGATCCAATCGGTGATCTGATAGATATGGTCATTCCCTACGGAATGGCGTTTTTAGTTTTCTTTTATCTTCATTTTTGTAGCTTTTGTAGGTTTTCGCCCTTTTGCGGGCGCGGAAGGGGGCTCATTTTTTAAATACACTTGTAACAGTGTGAGCGTACAGCCATCTGGATGCAAAATTTGGTGACTCTAGCATTTATAGTCTCTGAGGTCCAGGCGCTCAACAAGACGGGCGGACAGACGTCCATACGGACGGACAGACAGATATGGCTCAATCGACTAGGCTAATGATGCTGATTAAGAATATATATACCTTATGGGGTCGGAAACGATTCCTTCTGTGTTGTACATAATTTGTGAACAAATACAGTATACCCTATTTTACTCTTCGAGTACCGGGTATAATTAGCAAAGCCCTCAATACTCGTAGTAGTTTCGAGTGGAGGGGGAATAGGACTTTGCCACTAGAATTAGGTCACAACAGTTGATCCATAAACGTCCCACCCCATTCTGCCCTCTCAAATGAACACGCAAAGGCCACGCACACAAATCATTAATAATGCACACACGACAACACAACGTACAACCGACAGTGACTAGCAAATTAATTGATGTAACTATTTAAGGCTCTACTCTGACACCGAGGGAATCGAACCCATGCGCTGGGCAATTTCTCCGGAACTCAGTGCCATTGTCCATCATTTTGTAAATGCCTCAAGTCAAAATAGTCGTGTACATTGCGGAAATGTCTGTGGCAAATAATCTCCCACACACAAGCATAACCAAAGTCCGATACTCGACACTCGACAATGTTCCCTTTTGTGAGGTTTGAACTGACAGACACACGCAAAGGAACAAGGTGGAGGGGGAAGTCTCTGCTAAGATGGGGAATACTTGCAGTGAAATGAGAACTCCCCCAGGCCGTCAATGGGAGATTGAGCTCAAGAAATTGAATGGAATTGATAATACATTTTAGTCCGGCCAACTGCCGCCAAATGGCATATGCTTTTTGGCTTGTGGCAACAGATAAAATATAACAAAGGGATTACCCGG